GATGTCTTCATTCAAGGGAAGAGGGACCAGCACAGGAGCTGGGTCTGAGGGGCGGTCCCCGGCCCAGGAAGAAGATGGCCGTGCCTTCCTGGGGGGCCGGGCCCACCCACAGCCCGTGTGCATCTCTTTTGCACCATATAGTTCTGGTTCCACGTGTCGGGCCTGCATTTTCAACGCGGGTTTGTTTGTCTTCCCCTGTGCACCAGTAGCTTTGTGAACGACTGTCAAGCAAGCCAATAAGCAAGTGCAAGAAAATACATTTTACTCCAAGATTTGGTGAAAGGACTCTTCTAGAATTTTCAGCTTTCACTCCCGTGTGTTGTAGATGTGTGGGTTAGCGGAAAATGTGAGAAGGTTTCTGTACTTTATGGAAGCCTGTTTGGGGGGAAATTGCACTTACTCATCAGGCCCAGGGAGAAATCAAACTTCTTTTCAGGAACAACTCAAAGTGACTGAGGAGAAACCAGAAGAGGCCACGGAGGGAAAGGGGAGGAGTACGTATCGATGGGGTGGATCGGAAACCGATAAGAGACTCTGCCGTGGTGGGCACACGCCGTGATCCCTGCTGCTGAGAGCCTGGGACTGGCTTTTGATTGCTGGAGTTGCTGAGTGCAGACACCCAGTCCCCCCCAACTCAACACCAGATGGGACGAGGAAAGGAATTCGTAGGCTTAGATAATTGTATGTTCTGGAAAACAAAGGAAATTAAAGAAAAATTGGGTCCTTTACCCTGTCAGTCATTTCTTGGCTAACTGGTCTCCCGCACCCCCACGGGCCATTCCTTCCATTCATGGAGTCATGCGGGGATTGAACACACGCTCGCGCACACACACTCATTGACACTGTATACGAGACACTGCGCCTGTGTTAAGGATATTATAAAATAATGTATGTCGTGGTCTGCAGTCAGGGGGACCAGGGGGGACTGTCCTAAAGGAAGGGGGCGGTGGGGGAGGAGCTCCAAGGAGCCCCAAGGGAGGCGGCCACCCACAGGGCATCTTGGTGTCTCACCGGTCGCTTCCCCCTTTCTCAAAGAGCACCGCCGACCTTTCACTTACCCACGTGCTGGAAGACAAGAGAAGCCACGTACCCCGACGACAGCCCCCTGGAGTCCTGCTAGCGGGCAGGGCACGGTCTTGGGCCATCTGGCGAAAGGGCAGGAGCCACCCTCACGCATCGCTCATCATCCACCCAGCTGGGCTTCCGGCCCCAGTGTTCCTCCCTTCCCCCAGCCTTTCCAGAAACCTGCCATTCACATGTGCTTTAGCAGAACCCATTTTTTTCTTTCAGCTACATTCTGCCCCCAGGTTCTAAACGTACCTGCTGTAAGCTCCTTTCTTTCTTTCTTTTTCTTTTTTTTAAAGTTCATGTATTTATCTTGACAGAGTGTAACAGAGAGAGGGGGAGAGAGAATCCCAACCAGGCTCCATGCTGTCAGCACAGAGCCCGATGCGGGGCTCCATCCCATGAACTTTGAGATCATGACCTGAGCCGAAATCAAGAGTCAGATGCTCAATGACTGAGCCCCCCGGGTGCCCCTGTAAGCTCCTTTCTCCATCCCGTGTCCTCCTGCTCCTGCCCCCTCGCCTCTCCCCTCCCCTCCACTGCCAGACCTATCGGCACCCGACTGCCTGACCCCCTCTTCCCACTGTCTGACCCCCTAACCTGCCCGTCCCACTGCCTGACCCCCTAACCTACCCGTCCCCGCAGATGCCATGGGCGACTGCACTCTTTTCTGGAGCACAGGCTCTTGTCTTCCCTCTCTTAGCACCATAGTCTCTTGGTTCTCCTCTCATTCTAGTCATTTCTTTTTTTCCCTTTTCTTAAAAAGACGAATTATCCCCCAGGCCGGCCATTCAGTGTTGGAGTTCTTTGAGGCTCCTTCTCAGGCTTTCCCTCCCTTGTGCCATCCTGTCCCCCAGGGCCCCCTCAGCCATGCTAAGCATTTCAAGCAGCGCCTACATCAAGACGTTTGCTGGATTTCTGCCTGAAGCCAAGATCTCCTGCGTGAAGCCCAGACCTTCCTTCTTGTCATCCTCACTTGGGAATGAACTCTGTCTGTCTCAGAGGCATCTCCCTCCATCGGGTAGCAAACCAAGACCTCAGAGTCACCCCAGACACCTTCTGCTCCCGTTTAGTTCCCGAGTCTTGTCAGGCGTATCTCCTGTGGCAAACAGTCTGTTTACCCCGCACCACGTGAGCTCCCACCTCCGGGGCCCAGCGCTTGCCCCTGGATTACACCGCGAACTCCTTCTTCCGCCCGGTCCCTCGCGCGAAAACCTCGGAACCCTCCGACCCTGATTACAGCCTTTCCCCTGACACCTCTCCTGTTGGTTTCCGGATGAAAGACCAACGCGCTTCCCGGCCGCACGGTGTGTTCTCGCTCTCCCCGCCTCTCCGGCCTCCTCACAAACCACACGTCGCTCGTTCCCTGTACTCTGGATACTGGATTGCTCCCTCCTGCCACCAAACCTTTGCTGGTGCTGTGCCCTCTTCGTCGAGGGCCCTCCCCATCCACCTCCTGTATCTGTTCACTGTTGTCCTTCGAGCCCCAGCTCAGCTGAAACTGTGCGGCCGGGGGCCCTCCGTCACCCTCAGGCCCACACGTGTGCTCTGATCACCCGTGCTTGCGGCCGGTGTAGCCCCGGTTATTCCGTTTTCCACAGGCACTGTGCCATCCACTCTCCTGAGACACTGTCCTCCCGAGGCTAGCTCTGACTTCGGTCTCGGCCCTGCCCCCATGTTGTGCGTTCACTAATATTCATTTGGTGCTTAATGCTGTGGCTCTTGTCGATGGCCCCAGTACTGCCCACCACACACTCCCCGGATGTTTGGGATGGGGTCAAGCCGGCGTAGGGCTTAAACACAGGTTTTTGGAAGAAGCGTTAAGGTAGTGACATGATTCTTGATGGAGGCTCGCTGAAGGCAGGTAGGGTTCCGGCAGTCAGGGGAGCCGAGGAAGGGCACCCGAGACGGGTGTGGTGGCACGAACACGTGTTTGAGGGCACAGGAAGGAAACCAGGCAATGCCTGTTCACTCAGATGTAAGGGATCTACCTGGATCCACAAACCAGATGTGGGGCAGAGGCCCAGATGGCCGGAAAGGAGGTAGCTGCTGGACGCGGAGTCTGGGGGAAGCCCGAGACTATACGCGTCACGGAAACGGCTCTGGTTCCAACGCCAGCGTCCGTAGGAAGCAAGTCATGGGGAGCGGTTGAAGTCTCCCCACTGCCGTTCGTCGCAGGCGTGTGCATTTCTCCGGTCACAGCACATTCGGCCTTCATCGTCCTCGGTATTTTTCACCGGGGCGTCTTGCTTATGCGAAGCGTCAGAATGGCCCTGCGTCCCTCCTCCCTTGATGCGACGCCGGCTTGACTGGCTCTGACCTCCTGGCCTACGACTCTGCATCGCGTACCCCGCGGCTTCTGTTGTCTGGCCCTGCTGCTGCAGGTCGCTGTCGGGTTCATCTTCTGGAGGTTTGGACGCAGTTTCTCTTGTTCTTGCTCCCATGGTTCCAGCTTCCTGCTTCGTTAGGGGACACACTGTCCTCGGGCCCCTGATGCTTTTACCCAGATGACGAAAGGAGAATCTTTTCCATGCTCAGAACACTTGTGACACCAAAGGCGTGAGTTTTCCACACCAAGCGGTTCTCTAAACCCCTGTGGGCCCCAGCGGGGCGTCCCACAACAGGATTCAACTCTGACGCTAACTACCTGGAATTAGCAGAGACCCCACTGGTTAAGAAAGGCTTGGTGCCACAAAGCTGCGCCCACCTCGGACGCCAGTTAAGGTAGTGGGTGCCCGCGGTACCCACGCTTCTGTTTGACCCAGCTACGAGGTCGTGGGTTCCCGCGACCCCCTCCTCGGGTTTGAAAATTGGCTAGAATGATTCACAGAACTCGGGAAAACAGTTCACTTACTCTTACTGGTTTCTTAGACAGGACACAACCCAGGAACGGCCAGATGGAGAAGCTGCTGAGGGCGAGCAGTGCGGGCAGGGGCGCAGAGCTCCCGTGCCCGCGCCAGGCGCCCCGCTTCTCCGGGGCCTCCGGACGCTCACCAGAGCGGGTGCTCTCGGAACCCCGTCGTTTAAGTTGTCCATAGAGGGTTTATTGCGCAGGCATGATTGATGAAATGATTGGCAGCTGACGAATAACTCGATCTCCAGGTCCTCTCCCCTCCCGGGAGGCAGGATGGTGGAGCTGAAAGTTCTAACCTTCCACAGTGCCTTAGTGTCTCTGGAGACCAGTCCCATCCTGAAGCTCCCCGGCACCCCCAGCTCCCAGCCATCCCGTTACAAGACCAGAGACACCCTCATCACTCCACAGAGTCCAAGGGTCTTAGAAGCTCTTTTGGGAACCAGGGACTGGGTCCAGATACTATGACAACAGGTGCTCCTATCATGTCTATCACTGGAGGAATTACTAATCTGAAATTCTGGAGCTCTGTGCCAGAGAGTGGGGGCAGAGACAAAATACGTATTTAAAAAAATTTTTTTTTAATTTATTTATTTTTGACAGAGACAGAGTGTGAGCATGAGCTGGGGAGGGGCAGAGAGAGAGGGAGACACCGAATCCCAAGCAGGCTCCAGGCTCTGAGCTGTCAGCACAGAGCCCGACGTGGGGCTCGAACTCACGAAGTGTGAGATCATGACCTGGGCCGAAGTCGGACGTTCAACCGACTGAGCCACGCAGGCACCTCCGCAATTACATATTTTTTCTTATGTCACAATAATAGAGGAAAGAGTGCAGAACGCTAGAAATGCAGATACACCAATGCTTTCAGGAGCTCACAGTTAAATAACGAGCCTTTCCCTACCCGCCCCTGAACGATCCACGAGTGGAACCTTCAGTCCTACACAGCCGAGGTCTCTGAGAAATTACTGGAAACAAAGTCAATTCAAATTGAATGGCTAACCAGTCAAGCAGGTGCTTAAGAGGGAATGCCCACGAGGGCAAACAATGAATGGCTGAGCATTAGGATCTCGGGCGTCCGGTTTGCTCAGAAATAAGTGAGTGTCTGCTCTGTGGCCCAGTCCTGGACCTCTGCTTGCCCGAAGATCAGGTAGAAGACCAGGCCTGATACGTTCACAGAAGCTGAAATCAAGAAGACATTTCTCCAGCCAAACTCGGAATCCTGGAAGCAGGAGGCAACAAATTGTCAGCGGTCTCCTAGCCCTTGGCCCTCCGAGTCAGGAAGGCTCTGGCACGCGTCCTCCTCCCCACCCCCACCCCCGCCTCTGTGGGCTTCCTGGTCTGTCCTAGAAGACACAAGTCATTTCCTGTGCCCTGGCCTCTCCCTCTGCTGGAACATTCCTCCCCCCAGATAGCCATTTGGCTCCCTTGTCTGCTTCTAGTCTTTACTTAAATGTTACTTTCCAGTGAGTCCTTCCACAACCACCCTTTTTAAAACCGCAGTCCCGCCCCTTCTGATGTACCCTGTTCTCCTCTCCTGTGTTATTCTTCTCTGAGCACTTGGCCACTGTTCCATACGCGGTATGTTTTACTTATATCATTAGTTTTTTGTCGGCCACAACAAGCTTCACCAGAGCAGGGACTTCTGTTTGCTTTATTCCCTGAAACAGTGCGTGGCATGTGCTAATGTTGAATTAATGAATGGATGAATGAATGAAGGCATAACAAGGGAAACAAATTCAGTTTGAGAATATCCATATTAAAAACTGCTGTTGGTCAGCGACTGGAAGGGAAGCCCCTCAATCACAGGCACACCAGAACGGTTGGCCGCTGTATATGTGGCAAGCGGTGCCGTGAATATTGCTAGAAATTTTGATGATGAGCATGAAAGGCTCATCTTCTAAGGATTCTTAAAGCCTAAACTCCCAAAACTGCGCATTCTTCATCACTCCACACCCTCAACATGGTAATTGCCCAGCATGAGCTGAGCCTAGGGTTAGATCACGAGGGGGTTAGATCACGAGGGGGCTCAGGACTCTAGAGCTTTAAGTGGAGCCACGTTGAGGAGGGGACAAAAATGTCTTCAGCCTGACTTCTGCTGAGTGACCTCTACGGGTTTCTCTTACGCATATTTTCACCAGAGCGTTTGACCTCACCTGATTCATTATAAATCCAGCAAGAGTGGAAGAAATGGCTCCCGATGTGTGAGCAAAGACTTGTGATAGTCCCTTGAGAAAGCCAGTGTACCTGAGACAGAAAAGAATGTTCCAGCATAAGCAAACCGTTAATCTCTGCTTACTTGCTGCAACCCTGTGCTCATCTCTGGGGATGCCTGGGGCTGACCCTTGGTCCAAGCTGAGTGAAACGTGCTGACTGGTGATCAGTAGAAGCCCATGTGAGGGTCTGAGACTCCCCAGGGCAAGCTGTACGAACCGGTCAACATGGTGGATACAAAACGTCCAGATGGATGGTTTGCACCACATTTGTGTGTTCTCTCAGTCTCAGGAACCTGATCCTGCGGCCCTGTCTTGGGGTAAAAAAGATGCCTCACTGGGCGAGACCAAAGCCTCTCCCTTGTGTCATGGTGGTTAGGTGTCTAAAACTGGCATGTGTTGTGACCGGGAAAGGGTCCCGGGAGCTACAGGTGGAAGTCCCAGCCATCTTCCACACCACCTCTAGGAGAGGCCCGTGTTTCACTTGCTATCCCTTTATTCAAGCTTGATCTCTATTAAAGCTTTATGTGAGCCTTACGGGCCCTCCAGGGATCCACCCTTGTGTGACTGCAGCGTTTCCTGACAGAGAGCTTGGTGTGAGTCCCCCCCCCCCTCCACCCCTGGTCGAGCAGTGAGTGTGGCCACTGCCTCCCCCTGTTCTCCCCTTGGAAAACTAAGTTCCCAGGGGCTGACTAGCCTTGGGTCCCTTCCAGGAATTATTTGCACGTAGGGCTGTCACTAACATCTCCTGTGAGCTGTCACATGTATTGCTGGCATCTAACTGGTGCGTCAGAGCGAGTTTAGGGCCGTTGGGCCTGAACTGAGCTTCTGGGAGGATGAGGCCGAGGGGTTCCTACCGAGGAGCGATGTCCAAGAAGTTAACAAAAGCGCCTACTTGGCAGAAAGTGGTGGTGCTGAAAGACAGTGCCAACAAGGCCATGGTGGCGCTCAGGCTGGATCTGGTCCAGTGCAGGGACACGAGGGCTGCAGATGGGACGAGAACCCCTGCAGCGGGACAGGCACAGAGAGAAGTAAAGCAACTGTCCTGAGCCTCCCGCATCCATCCCCGTCCCCTTCGTCCTTACCTATGGCGGTGAACAGTTTCCTGATGCTCATGAGTCGGAGGAGTTTTCTGGAGAGAAGGAAATCTGCCAATAGACCTCCGAAGATAGTGCAGATAAAGGCAGCCACCAACAGCAGGGATGTGAGGATCCCACTCTGAGGACCAGAGAGAAGTGAGCAGCGTGCCTCACTCCCCACAGCACGACACAGATTGACAAGCTGGCTTGTCCACATCTGTAGCTTTTCTTTCTCTTTCTTTTTTTAAAATGTTTGTTTATTTTTGAGAGAGAGGAGGAGACAGAGTGGGAACAGGAGAGGGGCAGAGAGAGAGCGAGACACAGAATCTGAAGCAGGCTCTGGGCTCCAAGCTGTCGGCACAGAGCCTGACATGGGGCTTGAACCCACGAACTGCGAAATCATGACGCAAGCCGAAGTTGGATGCTTAACCAACTGAGCCACCCAGGCGCTTCCCCCCCGCCTTTTTTTTTTTAATTTTTTTTAATGTCTTAGCTTTTCTTTATATACATTATCATCTTTAATACAAATTTCATGTTACTGGACTGAGCCAACCCAATTCCAGTGCCTGAGGAAAAACATGCATGTAGTTCAATTTGGAAAAAAAAAAATTAATGTTCTCTTTACGTGTAAATGTCACCTGGAAATAGGTTTTAAAAAGAACAAAACCCAATAGAAAAATAGACACAGGATAGGAACAGTTTACAGGGATGGAAAAATAAGTGACTCCTGAACCTATTAAAAGATGTCTGACCTCAAAGTAAAACAAAAACAAAAAGCTGTCCGAATGCCATTTTTCATGGGTCAAACTAGCAAAAATCCAACAGTTTTTTTGACGTGATCAATGGTGATGCTGTAGGTAATCAGGTACTTGCAAGTATTACCAGTGTCCTGTGGGGGCAATTTGACAATAGCTATAAACGTTTATGCAGGGCACCTGGGTGGCTCAGTCGGTTAAGGGTCCGACTTCGGATCAGGTCATGATCTCCCAGTTCATGAGTTCGAGCCCCGCATCGGGCTCTGTGCTGACAGTGTGGAACCTGCTTGGGAGTCTC